TCGCCAACATTCAAAGCCGAAAACCGAAGGTCTAAGAATCATTTCCATTTCATGACAGACTGAGTTGAGCCAGGTTTTGAGCTGACGCCCTCTTCGATTTCTCCAACTGAGTAACGGTGTGGGATCGAGAGCCGTAACACTGAGCTCGTGAGGTTAGCGGCGGAGAACGTGTCCAAACAACCTCAGCTGTCTTTCTTGAATGGCTTGGGATATCCTTGCAATGTTGTCGCAACGAGTGCGGACTGTGTCATTTGAGGCGAAGTTGGTGCAATTCACTCTAACGATGGTCCTCAAGCCAAAGTGGTCAAATACCTCTAGTTTTCCTTCATTTTCCACGCTCATAGCACAACATTCACAGCCGTAGTGAAAGGACTGAACGGATGGACGGTGCACGTTAACCTTCGTGGCAACAGAAGTATCGCGTCGAGTCTGTATGTACTTTCTAAGACTTCAGAAAACTCGTCGAGCTGCATCAATTCCGGAGACAATGTCATCCTTACTCTGCCCATTCAGCAGCAACCCCGCCCGAGGTATTTGAAACTGTCTACTTCTTCAAGTTGACAGCCATTAGTCGCAAGGGGTGCCTTGTCTTTGACAGGGATGCGGCAGGAAAACACCTGGGTTCTCCTAATGCTTATACACAAACCCACCAATTTAGCGATCTCGTTCACCCGCGACGTCATGGACTGTAGATCGCTAAATCCTGAAGTTAATACAGCGATATCATCGGCGTAGCCGAGACCAGTCAGCCTGCGTCTGGGTGCAAGCTCAATGGCGTAGTTGAATAGAATGGGCGATAGGGCACCGCCTTGTCGAATGCCAGACTGAATAGCGAACGGTCCCGCAAGGTTGTTATGGACAAGAAACCGTGCAGTGGTTGAGCAATAGTAGGCCTTAATTGTGTTGATGATGATTTAGTGCTACACCATCTAGTGCCGTTATGCGCCACAGAGATGGAGGGAATCGAAAGCAGCGGCAAAGTCAACAAGCCGGTGGTTGGTAGGTTGTTGAAATGCTTATGGATCGGGAGCTTTTTAGTATAGCCGGCGGCCGATGCCTAGTGTTTTTTCTCAACATCCCTGCTTCAAGGTCATTCACATTGCCATACGAGCACTTCCGGGCGCGCTGCTAACTTTGACGCGTTCAGTCGGACTAACTGCAGCATGCAAAACACGTGCTCGCGCGCATTCGGTCGGTTACCTGTCCCGTCGGCCAAATGCACTAGCAAATTGTTAAGGAAGAGGTAGGACGCCTCTGGCGTGTGTAAATTGGTTTGAAGTTTGCTGCAGGCTCCTCAGTATTGCAGTCACCTGTCTCCACTACCTAACAGCGCCTTTGCTCATTTCAGTCCTTTTTCCTCGTATGTATTCTATATCCACCGAATGCTGACGTACGATTCAATATGGCATAAAGCACAAGTGTGCAGTCGATGGCTTATTTACTAGTTTTTTTTCTTTCGGTAAGACACTTGATCAAAACCTATCTAAATAGCCTTTTTAAACAGGATGACAAAAAAGCTGTGTCTGCTGGAATTGACTGCGTTTTGCTTTGTTGGGGGAGGGAGGAGTCAGTGAATTCTACCGATTACATGTCTATTTTCGTCAGTTGCAAGCAACTTTCCTTGCGGCAATTTTTTTTCGTATGTGGACAGACTTCCGCTTAGATTGAAAAGAAGAAGAAACTCTGTCGATCACCAGAATCATAGTTTTATTAGTCTGAGCTTTCGAACTCCTACAGGAGTCCATCCCCACCCGACACACTGATCTCGCCTACTTGCGCAGACTGACCTAGTGCGCAATAGCCAATCGGTACCCAAACTAGACAATTATTTATTTTTGAAGCAAGACAAAATAGCAGAATTTTTTCGCGCGAATAAATTTCGAGAGCGCTTTTCAGCTGCT